AATGAAGTGTAAAAAGACATGTTAAGATGGGATAAAGTACAATTGTCACTGTTGAAGAAAATTTCTGTGATTAAGATGAAGGTTTTGCCTAGAATGTTATTTTTGTTTCAATAATACCTGTCTTGATAATTGATGTACCATTTAAAGAGTGACAGAAGGACATATCTAAATTTGTTGGGCAGGGGGGAAAAACTTGAATATTATATATGATATTATAAGATGCAGAAAAAGAGGACAATCGGATTTACCAGATTTGAAATTATACTTTGCCGCTGTTAACTTAGTTGAAAGCAGATGTTGTTTAGAGTAGAGTAGAGTAGAGTAGAGTAGAATAGAATAGAACAGAATAGAATAGAATAGCTGGAAGGGACCTTGGAAGTCTTCTAGTCCAACTCCCTGCTCAAGCTGGAGACCCTATACCATTTCAGACAAATGGTTGTCCAATCTCTTCTTAAAAACTTCCAGAAGGTTCCAGAAGAAATAGAAGGCTGTTGGAGTCAGAAGGATATTATCTGAGATTTGGGTGGCACAAATATCTATATGAGAAAACTAACGTTAATGTCGATTTCATAAATCATTATGTCATGTGGGCTATTTTTAAAGTATGAAATAAATCTAGGTTGCGCCCAAAAATATCTTTATGGCTCTCAGCTAAGAAGCATTTTATAGATAATAAGTAAACATAAATGTTTAACTTATTGTGACATACTAGGATTTTCTCAAGGAGACTGTAAAATAAAATCAAGAGAAGATTTGATAATAGAAACATATATTTGTCAATGGTTTTCCTATGCACAATTATTAGAAAAATTTAAAGTGGGTAAAAGATTTTACGGTTTTGAACAACAAAAGAGTGACTTTGAAATAGAATGATGTGCCAGTGATGACCATGCTATTGCTAAAATGTATAAACTTTTGTTGAAATATGAGACAGAAGAAGAACAAGCAAAATAACGTATACTAAAATGGGCTAAATATTTTGATTACAATATACAAATGGATCACTGGGAAAATGGGTGGTTGAAAGAATTGAAATGTAATTATGTTCTAGTCTTAAAGGAATTTTTTTATAAAATTACGTACCCTTGGTATTTGTCACCAGAGAAATCATCTACAATGTATAAAGAATGTATAAAGATACTTCAAATTTATGCTGTAAATGTGAATAACACGAAGTTACATTATATCATGTGTGGTGAACATGGGAAAAAAGCTAAAAAAAAGGATACAAATACATACATTAATTCAGAAGATTTTAAAGACTAATGCTCAATTAAATCAGAGGCTTTTCTTTTGGAATTAATGGACAGATTAGGCATGGGATGTTGTTTTTCTATATAAAAATTGCAGAGAGATTATTATATCCCAAAATTGGAAGGATTCTGCACCACTCACAATGGAGGAATGGTTGGTGAAGATGGTGGAATTTCCAGAGATGACAAAACTAACTTTCTTGATTAAAGAAAAGACTATATCTACATTTCTGGCTGACTGGAAACTCCTTAGACTTTTTTTGCACGAAATGGGGAAAAATGGCACAATGATTTTTGATTCTGAAAACTAGAAAATAAAATTAGATAACAGAAAAAAAAGTGAGGGTCTTTTTTCTTTGTAATCATAGAATAAGGGAGAACTTATAACCATATTATAACTTATAACTTGTAACCATATTTGTATTTGTTGCAGAGGAATAGGGAAGCTTTTTTCTTTCTATTTCTTTTCACCTTTTCTTTCTGCCCTTTTGCTTTTTTTTCTGTTTTCTTTATTCTGTATTAGTTTGTGTTTTAGTAAGTCTTTACAATTTATATATAGATCCAGTGGTGGGATTCAGCCAGTTCGCACTGGTTCGGTAGAACCGGTAGCTAATTTTTTGTTGGCCAGGCTCAGAATGGACTTCCGGAAGTGGCATCCCCACAGAGAACCGGTTGTTCACATATTTGAATCCCACCACTGATATAGATCAAAGCGGCACATCAGATACTGCACACAACTACAAACTCAGGAATCCAGCGAGGGGCTCCTTCAGTTCACATCTACATGACAACTAAGTGGATGTAAGTGGAGTTATCGAGAAAAATAAAGTATATATTATTACAAAACTTAATTCTATACTCAGGAAACATCCACCGCATTAAGTCTTCTCTTGCTGTTGTATGTTGAACAAGCTAAAATGGCTTGATTCATACATAATGTGAAGCACACAAGGGCTGGATCCCCTAGCAAGCTATGTCAAAACTCACCAATATAGGGATCTAACCAAGCCACTTGGGGTACCACTCCATACAAAAGCGACGTCTCCCCTGCAGTGTTTTGGTGAACCTACAAGGGAGAGGCCAACTTGTTCATCAAATGTGTTTTTAATCATTCTCATGTGCTTGAATTACATCCCATCCCATTGAACCTTTTTGGTCCTGACCCTCTTGGGCAAAGTCTCTCATTTCTGTAAGCTTACCCCAGCCCACCGCACCTTCACACATGTGTCTGGCTTGCTTGTGTAATTTCCTGAACTTCCTGCATATATTTTATCCCTCCTGTTTCTTAATTCAGCTATTTGGGGTATTAGGCTATTAGCTGTACCTGACTTCTCTCCGAGACTAACCGAGCATAACTGCTGGAACTGGGAACGCTTGCTAATCTGTCAATGTCCAGCTTTTTTTTCAAGACAAGAGGGCTAAAGAGAACATTGCTTAATTGGGGCAAGAGACAGCAGACTAAAGAAGAAGTTTTTAAGGCAGTGTTTCTCAAACCTTGGCAACTTTAAGATGTATGAACTTCAACTCCCAGAATTCCCCAGCCAGCTGGGGAAAAAAACCCATCCATCTTGAAGTTGCCAAGGTTGAGAAAACACCATTTTAAGGCATCATTTGGCTTTGCAAGCTGAAGGTGGATGAATTTCACCAATTAGATATGGAACAGTGCTGGTCTTGCGCGCACACCAGTCTCTTGTCTTCCTACTTACAATTCCAATGTACTTAGCAGGATTGTTCGGAAGGCAAATACAGGTAGTCCTCAACTTACAACCACAACTGAGCCCAAAAATCTATGCTGCTTAGTGAGAAACTTGTTAAGTGAGTTTGGCCCCATTTTACGAATTTTCTCGCCACATTTGTTAAGCAAATCACTGCAGTTCTTCCATTAGTAAGCCGGTTGTTAAGGGAATCTTGTTTCCCCATTGACTTTGCTTGTAAGAAGGTCGCAAAAGGGGATCACGTAACTCCAGGATCACTACAACCCTCCTAAATGTGAGTCAGTTGTCAAGCATCCGCGTGTAAATCACGTGACTTTGGGGATGCTGCAAATGTGAAAAAACGACTTTTTTCAGTGTCGTTGTAACTTTGAACATACATTAAATGGAATGTTGTAAGTTGAGGACCACCTTTATTTAGGAATAACAGAGGATGCTTTTCCATCGTTAGGCCCCTCTTGATGGGCAGGAAAGCCACCATGAGAAAGGGCTTACAGTTTTCATGCAGGGTTACCATCAAATTAGAGGCGCTTAAACAAAACATAAGATGCTATTTTCATTATCTATAGCAGACTATCATTGTCCCTGATCTTTTACAGAATTCAAAAAATCAGGGGTTGCTGTCCTAAGGAGCATACAATTATCAAAAACAACGGGCTGGTAGAATTATTCTGCTCTCCTATGGTATTTCTCTCACCACTGGAGCCCTGGAGGAACAAGATAGGAAAGGAAAAATGTAGAAAAGTTGAAATTGTCTGGGAAGAATTATACCAGATTCTAAACTTTGGGATTGCTGTGGCTTCCCTCTCTTAGAGTGTCTTCTTTGCAAAATGTCTTGTCTTGGGAAATGGTTATGTTTCTTAACTCAAGCAGAAGTAACTTCACAATGTACTTCTTGACTAACACGTTCATGCCTTGGTCAACAGTCTCTTGTTGTGAAAGCTTTAAACTGACATTTGAATTTGCTGATGTCTCTTTGGTGCCTCTTGCTATCTCCTCAACCTCTGCTCCTCTACACCACTCCAAAGGTTGGAACTCCTTCCAGTCTAGGTTGACAAACTTCAGACTCCCAGCTGTAGCTATGAATGCTTCTCAAATGTAATCCTGTTTTGTAATTTGGTGGCCTTGATGCATCACTTCATGAAGCTTTGGATTCTGTGCTAATGATAGATACTTTGCCCAGCAAACACTAATCTCCGTGATGTCCCATTCAATTTTTATTCCTTTCTCCAATTTTCTCACATCCTTGCACACCTCCTTATCACCAACTATCCTGGTTAGACCGACAATCATCTGCCAGAGAGACCATACAACCTCCAAGCTAGTCTAGAGCACTCCCAATCTCTCTATGGTTGAAGTAGGATGAGAAAATTAAAGTGTGAAAGCACTAACAACAACTACCTTTGTAAAAATGCTAAAACCCCATTTGAACTTGAGATACTCAAGCCACAGATTAAGGCCTGTTTGTAATAGTGGGAGTACACTCCCCAGTCATCTGGCTCTCCAACCAAATCTCTCTCACCTGTCACACAGGAGCTGGTACCTGGGAATGACCTGCTCTGGTGAAAGTTCATTTGGAAGAGAGAGTATCCTTAAATGATCAGAGGTACTGAGAAAACTTGCATCATATATATAAAGGGGGGGGCAGCGGAGGCACAAGAAGACCCTGCAATGCCTCACATAAATTCTATCTTCTTCACAACTATGAGGTGAACAGAACCTCCACTCTCTACTATGTAATCAAGGGCAGCAGTCCAAAGGTATGCGGGAGAGCTGGCTGGCACTGTATGAGGCAATGGGGCACAAGATGGCAGCCACTGGTGCCAAAAGGACATGTGAACATCACGGCAATCATGTGATATCTTTTGAACCCAACCATGTGGCTCCCACCCCCACCCAAACTTCCCTGATCACAGATGGGTTCATATTTCACAGGTTCGAGCTGGTGTGGGATCTGGGAACAGAGGGAGGGGGTGGGGCTGAGGGAGGGAGAAGGATGGAGGGGGGGACAGGTGGATGTGGAGTTACCACTCACCTTGCATCAGCTTCACTGTAGTATTCTCTGGCAACAATGTCTTCGAAGAGCTCACCGCCCGTGACCCTGCAAGGTGACACAAACCAGACTTCAACCAACGTTTGAGATTTGTCAACAGGACATTTGGAGAGTATATTACTGTCAGCCTTTCAAGGCAGACCAGACCAGGAAGTTCAAGGTATGCAGGTCAATACTACTTTGATCATAAAGTTTATGGGACAAAATATTGCAGTACTGAATGTAATTCTCCCCACCCTATTCCTTTATCTTCATGAGAAGAACGATGTGCTTTTTCAAAAGGCAACCAGACTTCCTTGAAGAAGACGCTTCGCTTCTCTTCCAAGAAGCTTCTTCGGAACTGAAGGTTACTGCATATTGAAGATTCCAAGAAGCTTCTTCAGAACTGAAGAAGCTTCTCGGGTGAGAAGCAAAAACATCTTCAAGCAAAAATGAAGAAAGTCTAGTTCAGGGGTAGTCAACCTTGGCTCTTTTATGACTCATGGACTTCAACTCCCAGCTGGCTCAGGAATTCTGGGAATTGAAGTCCACGAGTCATAAAAGAGCCAAGGTTGACTACCCCTGGTCTAGTTGCCTTTTGAAAAAGCACCTTTGGGACAACCATGACCTGGATGACTGAGAATCTCCGTAGACAAGAAGGGTCTTGTCTGAGAAACTTTCTCATGTTACAATACTGGCTGGGACTCAATTTTATTTTATTTTATCAGACCGGTGGTCTTCCTTGAGGTTTTCCTCCTCAAAGTTATTCCTCCTTTCCATTACAACCACTGAACCCAACTATTTCCGAAAGACTTGGACCATTTCCTGTGAGTTCTAGTCTTCTTTCAGCCTCTTACTTAATTGCCTGGCCCATGACCCAAAGAAATTGCCATGGACCCGATTTCTGTTCCATCGGGGAATCTCACCCGAGCCAACGTAAGTCTAGCTTGTTGAGCAACTGCCAAGGCTTGCTAATGTGACAAAACTGTATTTGTTTGGTCAGAAAAGGCCTAACTTTATCTCGAAAGTAAATAGATGTAGTTTAAAATCTCACTGGAGCTACCCCAAAATGGTACATTTCTATTGAGGTCATTTGTCCACTTTCTTTTTCTTCTTCCTCTCTTCTCCTCTTTGGGAGAAGTTCTATTTTATCTCTCGTCCAGATGGAAGACTAGTTATTTCAGGGCAAGCAATGTTACATCAAGTACAATAAACAAGTAAGAAGTACTGTACCAAAGCCATTTAAGCCATGAATTAAAAAAAGGGAAGAAAAACAGCTAAATTTAATTTACATAACTACCATTCACTAGGCTTCTATATTTTCTTTTCTCCTTACGAGATATTCTCATTCATAAACTGCCTTTTGTTCTTTAACATGTTCATTCTTTTTGAGGATTTCATCAACTCCATCCAATTACAACTTTCTCAATCTTCCACTTTACTTTTCTTGACCCATACCACTATTTTTCTACCACCTTAAATTTCTCAAAATGTTTTTCCATTTTTAGCAAATATTCCATGAAGGAATTCAACAAATCCGCCTGCTTGCTCTAGTTATGGCATTTATGAGTAACTTGCAACTGTCCATGCTGTTTTCCTGGATAACACAGCTATTGATTTTGATATATTAATTTTCAGATCCATACTCTTTATTGCATCGTATAATCTATGCTACAGATCTTTTGGGTTCTCAGCCAACAATACCGGGTCGTCCGCTTACAAAACTACATGTGCATCCATATTCCCAACAAACACACCCCTAATGTCAACGCAAGTGTACCTTATGCGCTTATCCCAAAAAATACACCAAACAACCAAGGAGACATCACACCCTTGTCTTTCACTCAATATTGAATTATTTGCTAAGCATTCCATTTATTCTCCTTACTTCCATCATATACTCTCCTTATTTCATTCAACAAATAACCTTCAACTACATCTTTGTGAAAAAAAATTCATAATCAAAGCCTATTCATTTTTTTATATCCTTTCCTTTTCCCCCTCTAAATAAACTCCCTTTTTAAAACTCCCTTTTTATGATCCTGTAATCCCTTAGTTCGGGTAGCCTGGCCAGAGCTGAGTGTTTACTGGCCGGATGCCCTTCCTGATGCCTATGTGGAGTTCACAGTAGATATTTTTTCTAGGAGAAAAGTATCTGCTGCTACCTAGGATTGAACTCTCAACCTTCTGAGTGGGAGGCAAATGTCTTCACCACTAGGCCACCACGCTGCTCCCCCTCTAAATCAACCAATATGCAATAATCTCTCTCTCTCTCTCTCTCTCTCTCCCCCTCTCTCTCTCTCTCTCTCTCTCTCTCTCTCTCTCACTGTACTTTAAGCTGCCAAATGGTAATTAGTTAATTAAAAACTTTGAGAGAGGCTAGAAGGGAGAGGAGCTGTTATGTGTTAAATAACAGGATGCCAGAAATGCACAAGAATGATTCCTCTTTGATACAGAAATGTAGAGATTAGGAAACAGAACACAGTGGATATAAAGGTTACAGCAGAGACCCAAATGGACAATTCAGCACCCGCATCATTATTGCAAGATCAAGTCTTGGGCATTAGAGGCACTAGCGCTCTTCAAACATCTTCGCTGGATGGCCATAACCTGCTCTTCTTCCACCCCCTCATTTCACACAGATGCTCCTCAATCTGCCAGGTATTCAAGGAACCCAGGTTTAATCCCGCTGGCCCGCCATGGCACACAGAATAATTGAAAGAGTATTGCATCGGATGGTCTCTACAGCTGGGCACAGAGCCACCTTTGGCCACAGTGCAGGGTGTACATGGGAGGGAAAAATCTATTGCTAGCTTTCAATTCCTCCTGCTGCAGCCATGGCCATGCCAAGGTCTGTGTGACTCCAAGCAAGGAAAAAGAGAGAAGGGGGGGAGAAGAGAGAGAGAGAGAGAGAAGCAGGGGCTGCACTGACTCAGAGGACAGCTAAATATAGTTTGCTGCTTAACTGGAGCTGTCAGAGAGGAGGAGGAGATGAGATCACTGGTTTCTATATCTGGAAATCAAGTGAGAGGCAGCCAAGCAAAGCACACCCTGTCTCTGTGCCCCATCCCCACGGGCAGATACATTGCCCAGGACATGCCCTACCCCCTTCATAACCAAATGAAAGGGCAAGGAATCAAGGCAAGATCATCATCTGGAGCCCTGGAGCCAACTTTCTGTATGGTTCCTAGCTGGCCTAATCTGGGTCTTCAAAAAGGGTAGAGCAGGGGTAGGCAACCTTGGCTCTTTTATGACTCGTGGACTTCAACTCCCAGAATTCCTGAGCCAGCCATGCTGAGGGGAAAGGGAGAGGTTTCCAAGCTGAGCCATGCTGGCTCAGGAATTCTGGGAGTTGAAGTCCATGAGTCATAAAAGAGCCAAAGTTGCCTACCCCTGGGACAGAACAACACTCCAGCCTGCCAGGGTCCCTGAGTCACAGCTATCATCTCGACAGCCTCCTTCCCCTTTCTTCCCTGCCCACCCTTTTGTGCTAATGGAAGGCCTGCAGCTGCAGTCTTCGCCCACCTTCATCCATTAAGATGGTAACGCTTTGCCCAGCTCTTGAGGCAGCCTGCAAACATTTGCTCAGAAGATGCCGGAAGGGAGGGCATAAGGCTATCCAAAGCGACCCACAAAGAGGATGATCAGCTTGTGGCAGCCAAAACACATCGCCACAAAGAAGCACAGCGGGGAAGACTTATAAAGATGAGCGCATTCCAGAAAGACCTTGGCTGGTCCAGAGCTTCTTCGGAACCAAGTATTACTTACAGATCAAAGACGAGGTAGTGGAAGCCTTCCTCGGATATGCTGTCATGGAGGCGAACTGCAAAAGAAGCACAAGGGGTATGTTACATTGGGCAAAGTACTTCCTAAATTCGGCAGTACCTTTTATTATCCTCGCCCTCCTTCTGTCTGTTTGATGCACTACATAATCCCACAAATCGCAAGTCCTGGAAGATAGCAAAATCGTAGCTACCCGCTGTAGCCACAAAGTTCTAGGATTCAGCATCATATCTCCAAGAAAGATCTGCAGCAAAATAGGTGCCCTTCAGCCTTCCCTCACCTCCAGAGTCCAAATATCTTGGCATTTTTGCAGTACCACTGCTTTATCATCTCCCCACCTCCCCAGTCTTCTTGGATTCGGATCTCTGTAATATCTTCACTAGGCTGCTACCTGCCAATAAACCTACTTGGAGAGGGGAAAATTAGGCCATAATTAAGTCTGGACTTTCTGGACTAGAATCTAGAGGTCCATCTTGTTTAGAATCCCATTTTCACGAGCACAAAAACAACCCAAGCAAAACCTGACAGTCACAGATCCTGACCACGATTACTTCATTTTTACTAGCCTCCATCATCGGCCCAACCTTTTATGAGAGTCTAATATCCACTGTTTTTCAAATTGAACCTATGGTGCTCAATACTCCATTACAGGATCCAGTTATAAACCCCAACAACGCAGCATAAAAAGGGTGTTTCGAGTGACGGTGAAAATGAAAATTGATTAATGGGGTCTAAAACCTGATCCACTAAACAAGCAGAAGTTTTTCAAAAACGGATGTCATTCAGAATTGTCCCAAAGGTGCTTTTTCAATAGGACTTTGATTTTCTCTGAAGACCTTTTGCTTCTCTTCAGTTCTCTCCAGAACTGAAGAAGCTTCTTGGATGAGAAGCAAAATGTTTTCAATGACAAAGAAAGTAAGTCCAGTTGCTTTTTGAAAAAGCACCTTTGGGACAGCTGTGACCTGGATGACTGAGAATCTCCATAGACATATAATTCAAAATAAACCAAAGTACTTAGCCACATGCACTGGAGGAAGATGGGACTGTAATTCTAACAAATGCATACATATTTTAATAATGTAGCAATGAATTTAACTTGCCCCAGCTGTTTTTTTTAATTAATGATTCTCGGCTACATGTTTATTTCAATATGTCTGAATTTTAATAGGATAGAAGATCCACAGGCATGCCAATGCTGCAACTCCGTTAAGGAAAAAGCAAAACAAATCCATAGAAATTCAGCATTTATTTATTAGCAGAAGATGGTGGTGCCAGGAACATTCTTATAAACACCTCGTATCCCCCCCCCCAAAAAAGACTTTCTTGCACCCCATAGAAGCAAAAATTAAACCTGACTAAAAAAAATAAAAAAATAAAACTTGTAATGTGTCAAAGCCTAAGTTAAAAACAGAACAGAAGAAGGAACAAACTGGCAGATCACCTAGCAAATAGGGTGTGAGTCTAGCTTGACAGCCTCATTCAAACCAGCAAACTTTCCAAATTCTGCTAAAACTTTACTTATTCCTGGAACACATTCCCAGCAGTATAGTATATATATTCCTGACCTTCATTTCCCTGCCCTACAGGACTGTTGCCCAGATATAGCTGGCTGAACAACAGTGACATACACAAAGTCATCCAGTGTGGTTTCTAGTCTGGAGGAGGAAGGGGGGCAGCGTTTGAACCCAGCTCCCTGCAATTCTAGCGTGAGGTTCTAATTCTACACTGCACTGACTTACATATCTACCTATGAGATCACAAGCAGAAAGAAAAGAGATTGATTCCTGATGTAAGAGGGACTTCTTCCATAGGTTGAAGAAACCTTTTTGTTAGTATAGGCCAGGGGTAGGCAACCTTGGCTCTTTTATGACTCGTGGACTTCAACTCCCAGAATTCCTGAGCCAGCCATGCTGAGGGGAAAGCATGGCTGGCTCAGGAATTCTGGGAGTTGAAGTCCACAAGTCATAAAAGAGCCAAGGTTGCCTACCCCTGATATAGGCAGTCCTCGAATTATAAGTCCACAATTGAGTCCAAAATTTCTTCTGCTAAGGGAGACATTTGTGTAGTGAGTTTTGCCCCCTTTTTTGCCACAGTGGTTTAAGTGAATCACTTCAATTGTTCAGTTGGTAACACAACTGTGAAGTGAATTTGGCTTCTCCCCCATTGACTTTGTTTGTCAGAAGATCGCAAAAGAGGATCACATGACTCCGTGACAAATCATCCTTCTTCCAAAAAGAAATTTGAGCTGAAAAAACTTGCAGACTTCAACGTGTCTTCTATGAACCATAATCTGAAGCCATTCCTTGTTTCACATTTATTCTTCCTTCAGCCACGGCGTTTTGTTTGAATTCAGATAGGGATGTATTTATGACCGAAAGGGTTAAAACTGTCCCTTTCTAGCTTCTGGACTTTACAATGGAACTATTTCTTCAACTTTACTAATAGAATAACAAAGCTGGAAAGGATCTTAGAGGCCTTTAATCCAAGCCCCTGCTCCTGCAGGAGACCCTATGCCATTTCAGATAAATGACTGTCCAATCTCTTCTCGAAAACTCCTAATGATGGAGCACCTACAACTTCTGGAGGCAAGCCATTCCACTGATTAATAGTTCTCACTGTCAGGAAACTTCTCCTTAATTCTAAGTTGAATCTCTCTTTGATAACTTTCCATCCTTTACTTCTTGTCCGGCCTTCAGGTGCTTTGGAGAATAGCTTGACTCCCTCTTCTTTGTGGCAGCCCCTTAGATACTGGAAGATTGCTATCATGTCACCCCTAGTCCTTCTCTTTGTTAGACTAGACATATCCAGTTTCTACAACAGTTCGTCATCAATCATCTTTGTTGCTCTTCTCTGCACTCTCTCTGGAGTCTCAACATCTTTTTTATATAGCTGTGGCTAAAACTGGATGCAGTATTCCAAATGTTATCTTACCAAAGCATTATATAGTGCTACCAACACTTCACGTGATCTTGATTCTGTCCCTCAGTGAATGCAAACCTAAAGGATTTGGGAAGACAGATAGTCTTTCTCCTTCCTGCACATCTTAGTTCCAATTAGATCATGATGTATATACATTTGTTTTTTTTAAGTCAATAAATAGATAGTAATAATGGTAGCAAACTGCTGTTGGCAATGTTTACATGTTACGATCCTTGAGACAAACCAAGTCTCCTCTTACCTATAGTTAATGTTAAGCTTGCTTAGTGTTGTGTGTATACACCTATCTCCTTTTCTAAAAGCACCACTTCAGGCTAAAGCACCCCAATGCTGTTAAAAACCAAGGGGAGAAGATTTAATTTGGTTGCCAAGAATTGATGTAGGGAAATAAGAGCAGTGAAAAGGAACGTGGATTCTTTCCCTGAAGAACTAAGGGACAATATGCCTTTCCGAATTTTGCTTCTGCTACGTGGCTTTGGGAGAGATATATTACTCCTTGCTAAAAGGAGGTTAATTAAATTGAAAAGGAGGGGTGGGAGTAGTTGGAAAGAAATGCTGATGTCTTAGAAAGTTTTCCAACCCGGAGGAAATGTCTAGCGGGAAACACAAAAACAGGGCCAAGCTTATAAGCAAGATACAACTGCTGATCTGTCCTCAAATATATTGTGGATAATGTCCCAAAGGTGGCTACATTTTCAAGAGTTAACTGGACTTCCTTTGTTTTTCCTTGAAAATGTTTCGCTTCCCATCCAAGAAGCTTCTTCAGTTCTGACTGAATGGTGGAGGATGGAAGGATTTGTATTCCTTGCAGTCATCTGATCATTAGTATTCTCTCTGAGAATTGTTGAGGCCACTTAGAGGTTTATCTGCACCCTCAGGGCCAACAGGGTAGTTTATCTTAAACCTCCATGTGGCCTCAACAACTCTCAGAAAGAATGCTAATGACCAGCTGTCTGCAAGGAATATAAATCCTTCCATTCTCCACCATTCAGTCAGAAGCGAAGAAGCTCCTTGGATGAGGAGCGACACCTCTTCAAGGAAAAACAAAGGAAGTCCAGTTAACTCTTGAAAAAGTAGTCACCTTTGGGACTATGATGGATAATGCATTTCACTGCCAATGGCCAGGTCCACCTGCATTGCTACAACTTATATCATGAAGCCACCTGTATGGAAGATTGAATATGGCTGAGAGGGATACAAAACTTTTCAACTAATAAGAGAAATCTACTTCACAGTAAAGGAAAAGGTTTCAGATTGGGGGAGAACTCAGAGTAACAGATTTTGCAATGAATGGAAAACATAAGGCACACCGTTTTTCATATTATACCATATATAGGGACCAGGACTCTTATACAGACAATGGAGCGCCTGTCGCAGTTCAGGGAATAATTGCCATCTATCTAATTTCACTACTTCTAAACCAGGGGTCTTCAAACTTGGCCCTTTTATGACTTGCAGACTTCAACTCCCAGAATTCCTCAGCCAGGCATGAGGAATTCTGGCAGTTGAAGTCCACAAGTCATAAGAGGGATCTCGGAGTCCTAATGGACTAGCCAACACAGTGCTAGGCTGCATTAACAGAGGAATAGAATCAAGATCACGTGAAGTATTAATACCACTTTACAATGCCTTGGTAAGGCCACACTTGGAATACTGCATCCAGTTTTGGTCACCACGATGTAAAAAAGATGTTGAGACTCTAGAAAGAGTATAGAGAAGAGCAACAAAGATGATTAGGGGACTGGAGGCTAAAACATATAAGGAACGGTTGCTGGAATTGGGTATGTCTAGTTTAACAAAGAGAAGGACGAGGGGGGACATGATAGCAGTGTTTCAATATCTCAGGGGCTGCCCCAAAGAAGAGGGAGTCAAGCTATTCTCCAAAGTGCCTGAAGGCAGGGCAAGGAGCAACGGGTGGAGGCTAACCAAAGAGAGAAGTAACCTAGAACTAAGGAGAAACTTCCTGACAGTTAGAACAATTAACCAGTGGAACAACCTGCCTCCAGAAGCGGTGAATGCTCCAACACTGGAAGTTTTTAAGAAGAGACTGGACAGCTATTTGTCCAAAATGGTATAGGGTTTCCTGCCTGAGCAGGGGGTTGGACTAGATGACCTCCAAGGTCCCTTCCAACTTTATCATTATTATTATTATTATAAAAGGGCCAAGTTTGAAGACCCCTGTTCTAAATCAAATAAGATTAACGCAGCCCATATGATTAATGCCTCCTCACCTTTCCTGACAATAAACACCTAACTTTCTCAAAACTCTCTGAAGAAGCTTCAATGCCTAAAGGGCTTAAATTACACACCGAGACCGAGCCTTTCTGTCAGTCAAAGCAAAGCCATGATTTGCTGAGTAAACCAAAATGGGACATCGTCCTAAGCCCTAAACTGCTGTTCATAGACATCAAGGCTGCTTTGCATATTGCATGCCATCAAAAGCAAGCAAACTACCTGACAGTTGCATGCAATCCAATCCAATCCACTTTCTGGACCCACGAATCTTCTGCTCCTGCTGTTATCACCCACCCATATCTGAAGTGCATCTATTTCAATTTCATTACACAACAAACCGTTTCTTTTCCTTTTGCACTTGTGGCTGTCTCTAAGTCTAACCAGAAGGTACCCATGACGACACAGTTTCCATAGAAACTAATGCAATGGGTGGTGGTGGTAGTGGTGGGGAGAACAGAAGATTTTTCTAAAAGAGCCAAAAAAGCCCCATAAGGATTAAAACAGAATTAACTGGCATCAACACACTGAGTCCATTAAAGCAAGCAGGAAGTTCAGTTTTAATTGCCCACTTGGCCGAGACGGAGAGGGAGCCGGTCAAGATGATGCTTCCTGGAAGCCCTTTTTCTACCAACCTTGTTGTCATTAGCAACTGCAATGGATTTGCAAAAGTCTTTAAAAGTGGCTCCACGCAGCGCTGGGAACAAAGGAGGCAGACTGACCTGTTGGTCAAGGAAAAAAATGCACGTCCACCTTTCACAGTAACAATTGTGGGACGCTATCTTTGCATTTGTATCCGGCTTTTCTTCAAAATAAAGCAGAAGAAGAGACGCCAGGGGCAATTCATTCAAGTTACAGGATATTTTTCAGACCACCTTGGGAGATTAAAAACGGTGGGAATCTCTATTTAGGGTGGTTTCGCAATAACTACGCGATGCCACAAGAATAAGTCCGAATTTCAATTTCATGAAGTTTGTTAGGAAGGGCCTTCTGAAAAGCCTTAGAAACAGGCAAACTGATATAAAATAATTCTTCTCCTGGATGCAGAGGAGTGAACTGGCAAGCCAAACTTTCTTGAATGTTGACCACAGACCGAAATCTAGGGAGATCTCTAGATTTAAATAATGCAGATTTTTGGGTGAGAGCTGTAGTTGGATCCGAAGGCTACATTTTAAACTCATCCTAATTTCACAATTACTGTTAAGTGTAAATTATTCTTGGTATATGCCAAGCCTTGTTTGTATAATAAATCAAAATTAAGCCATCTTTAAGTCTGTATGATCAAGGAACTAAAAGTAAGTAGAAAAAACATGATTACCGCAGATTTTGACACAACACACACAAACACACACGTGCATAGAGCCCCCAAAGGATCAGCAAAGAACAACCTCATTCTACTTTTCCTTGGGATGCCATTCAGCCTCCCCCAAATTGAATCCTTGCCAGGGGTATGAACTTCAGTTGCTCCTACGCGTTTCTGGATTTAAAGTCTGCACCCTGATTTTAAGTCAGAAACAAATCTGGAGCAAGCAAAAATTGGAAAAGGGCAAAATATGGCCCATTTTACTAGGATTTTTTTAAAAAAAGAAACCCTCTGGATCAGCCGTCCAAGGCAGGTTTCCACAAAGCTAATTAATATCAGTGAAAAAGTCCATAAGTAAAGGGACCATAATATCACACTAGAGTTTATATTTGTGTAGCAATTTCACAAGTATGGTAAGAGAAATCACCATCAATCCAGTTTTTTTAGTCTCGCATTTTTTCTTCTTCACCTTACTACTTAAGAGGATAGCAAAGAGGAAATCTACCGCAAAGTTTTTACTGGTTTGACTGGTTCAGTACTCAGAATATTCTTCGTATTATTCAATGCAAAATTGTGTAATTGTTTGGCAACTTTAAGATGCATGGGCCTCTCAGAATTATGGGAATTGAAATCCACACATTTTGAAGTTTCCAAGGTTAAGAAACTTTGATATAGACCAGTGATGGTGAACCTTTTAGAGACCGAGTGCCCAAACCGCAACCCAAAACCCACTTATTTATCACTGGGTGCCAGGTGCCGTGGCTGTGGTGGTCATGGCAGATTGGGTGGGTGTAGTCAAGGTGGGCGTGATCACCTCAATGTTGCTCGTGGAGAGGGACGCCTGTGGGGGCCGGGCAGGGTTGGGGGAGATCCAGGGGGTCTCTGGCAGGTGGGGTGGTGGGCAGGAGGCTCGTCCTGCTGGGTGAGGCAAGGCGAGGCAGAGCGGGGGTGCCATTGTCATAGGGCAAGGTGAGGCCAGGGTGGCTGCTGCCTGACACCATCGGTCCCTGCACACAGAGGCCAGCTGGGTGCTGGGATGCATCCGGCCATGTGGGACCTCGGCGAGTTAGTGGGCAGCTGTTTGAAGAAAGATGGTTGCCATCTCCGGGGCATGGCGAGCATGCCCACAGAGAGGGCTCTGAGTGCCGCCTCTGGCACGCGTGCCATAGGTTCGCCACCACTGATATAGACAGTCTTCACGTTCACCATGTACATCATCCCATCTCATCCCATCCCATCCCATCCCCCTCTTCTCCATTTCCCTCTTAACCAAACAATATTTACCAATGTTGGAATGCTTCAGGAGACGGCAGATGCGAGCTTCTCGCTCCAACTTCTGGTGATCTGGAAAAAGAAGAAGAACGCGCATCCTTTAGCATGATGTCTTGGGTGTCAGATCCCATAACATTAGTTTTTTTTTAACAGAACATCAAGGAGGAAAATAAGCATTTTTCTGAAGGCAGTAAGTTAAAACAAAATTCAGAACTACCTTGCTTCCAATATAACGAAAACAGCACCCAACAGAGTAGCTCAATCCACTGCTCTGATAAGCTAGTTTTCTACTTGACTTTTATATCGGGTCAGCCCATGATTCCAACTATTGCCCTCCCATATTTAAACAATAAAATCCATTGCATCATATGGGCATTGACCGGCCTCACTATTGGAGGAGCGGAGAGAATCTAGTAGCATTTAAGATGTTGAAAGTGCAAACTTTCTTTATAAGTTTGTTAATTGAAGCAAAATACACATAGATACATTCCAGAGTAATAAAAACAACGCAGGGTAAGTAGCGATAACTAAGCGTAGGCTGTAAAAACAAACAGAGGCCAAGCTGGACTCAGCCAGACTCAGAAACCTGCTGAATAAATGGCCCTTCATTTGGTACTAAATCGAAATCAATATTAGTATTAGCCTGTTGTCTTAAAGAAGACATTTCATAAAGATGAAACGCTGACATCTCTATAGAATATGTTGCTTTCCACTGTGTGATACAAAAAGAGGGAAAAAAACAACTCTATTTCAAAGAGATGGTGATTCAAATAAGGATGACCTTAAACTGTTCATTTAGTGACCACTCAAAAAAATTACAACAGCATTGAATAAAGTGACTTATGACCACTTTTCACACTTATGACCATTGCAGCATCCCCAAGGTCATGTGATCAAAATTAAGACGCTTCTCATCTGACTCATATTTATGACGATCGTAGCGTCTCAGGGTCACGTGATCCCCTTTTGCAACTTTCTGACAAGCAAAGCCAATGGGGAAGCGAGATTCACTTAACAACCAGGTTACTAACTTAACAACTGCAGCGATTCACTTAATAATTACGGCAAGAAAGGTCGTAAAATGGGGGCAAAGCTCACTTAACACATACCTCACTTGGCAACATAAATTTGTCATAAGTTGAGAACTACCTGTACTTAGGGATCAAATTTCAGGAACAGTGAGATGTTCAGCCATTTTACTATTTATTATAGTTCCAATCCACTCAATAATCAAAAGTGTGGTCTATTTCCACTAAAAGGACAGGTCCAGCAAATGTTACAAAAAAACTGTGGGGTTTTTTTTCTGAACACACTTATGATGTACTCCAAATACATAGGTATGTTGTTATTTTACTAAATCAGCTACTCTTGACAGAGGTAGTTCAATCAAAACTAATAATATGTAAGATTAAAGCTGTTTTAATAGCCTCTGTTATATTCCCCCTCCGATACTTTATCTTTCCAATGAAATGTGGCTCCCATTTCATTCACACCTAGAAGAAAATAAGAATGGGATTAAGAAAGAAAAGAGAGAGAACTTATTGTCTCTCAAAACTGGGGGAATTCAGTAGAATTTAGTAGAAACAAAAGGAAGCACTTGGTGCAAGACATAATTAACATGATTTTTCTATGGCAAGAGATTGTAACATCCACAGCTGTTCTTGAGAAAAAGGCAAGGATCCATTACTCCCCATCCTTAGAAGCCTGACTCCTATGTCTCTGCAAACTGAAGAAAAATTATCGTAACTTGTAATTATCACTTCAGTAGGAGCCTATAAGATGAGGTCAGCTTTTAAAAAAAAATCTTCAGCACTCAAATGCATTAAAAATTGTGCTCAATTGCCATAATGGAAGGAAAGGCAGAGTTTATTGCAGAGTGCAAAATAAAACATGTTAACAATGAAATAAGAATAAAAAACATAAAACAGAGTAAGAATGTTACAGTTGGTGGCAAGCTGGATGGAAATGCACATTGGCATAGCAGTACAGGAACTGTCAGCTGCCTCCAATTTTATACTATGGCAATTTCATGTATGTATGTCAAGCAGGTATGTATGTGTGTGTATATAGGCATTTTTATTCAAGGTTCAACATGTTTCAGCATAGGATAATAAGAGAATGAAGCTGGCTCCTTATGCCAATTTTGTAATATGCCAATCCTTATTTAACAACCACAACCAGGATCAGCAATTTGGTCCTTAAGCAAAGCAGCTGGTAAGTGATACCGCAACTGTGCTTATGCTATCTCTTCAGCTTTGCTTTGTTTTACAGACCTGTGAAAGTTATAAATGCAAAGTTTGGTAGTCAAGTTACTTTTTCATCACTGTTGTAACAGTGAATGGTCACTAAACAAGACAATCGCTAAACCAAAACTGCCTCCCTCCCTCCCTCCCTCCCTCCCTCTCTCTCTCTCTCTCTCTCTATCTATCTATCTATCTATCTATCTATCATTATCCATCCATCATCTATCTATCTATCTATCTATCTATCTATCTATCTATCTATCTATCTATCTATCTATCTATCTATCTATCTATCTATCTATCTATCTATCTATCTATCTATCTATCTATCTATCTACTTACCTACCCACCCACCTATCCACAGTTTTTATCTAAATTAAGCAAGTTTCACCATGCAATAATAAAAAGAATTATGCTGGTTCTTCACCTTTTCTTTCTTTCATACTAATGTGTGCACACACATACATATACATACATGAACACAAACACACACACACACACAAATGGAAAGGCAGAAAGGCAACAGATTACTTGCATGACAGCTAAGACCGCTGCCCAGCATAACCATCAGGACCGCAAGTAAGTGGTCCTCCAGTAAGAATCTGTCCAGAAGATGTGTCTGCTCAGAAGGCGTTCAGTACTTAATTCTCAAGTATATCTGTCTACCTTTAGCCTTGGAAGATTTAATCTGTGATACCCTGGAAAGTGCATTTTCTAGCTATATCATCTAGACATTATGAGTGAAAGAAGCACTGAAGGCAATTATTATGAATCAAGTGAAGCATGATTAAAGGGGCACTGATGCTGCCCAACTGAAAAGTGATTGTAAGAAATATTCACATGGTAAAATATGACAGAGGAAAAATAAAAATGGATGTTCGCCTTTGTGTAGGTGATCTAAAAACCTCCAAACTACAGCTGATCATTTCACGCACACACACAAAATATGGTCTTGATTTCTGACCTCTAAATCTTTGTATTGCTCCTTTTTCTGGACACTTCTTTTAAGAGCACAGACTAAAGGTGGCCTACGCATTTAGTAATATTAATAAAATGTACAAAATGCTTGAACTGATTTGGGTATTCCCAAGATAGCCACTTTCCGTCATGCCAAGCCATGTTGTAGGACAGTGATGGCGAACCTTTTAGACACCGAGTACCCAAAAAACACCCCGCCTCCACTCGCTCTGCCCCCTGCCCCACCCACCGGGCCACCTACCGCTTCCACGACCTGCCACAGGTCGCCCAGGTGACCCTGCAGCACCATGGCAGCCAAGCCATGGGGTGCGAGGGCGGAGTCTTGTCCCTGCTGCCCGTCTGCCATGTCCTTGGCCGTGCTGCTCCATGTGGGCCACGCCCAGGGGCGACTCTCCTCTGGGGGGGCTGCTGGTGAGAAGGGGGCCGCAGAGGAAGGCAGGGCTGGGGCAATGGTGCGCGTGCCCACACCTGTACCATAGGTTTGCCACCACTGTTGTAGGAGATGACCAGGCTGAGCCAGAGGGAAGGGGTCAAACACATCATGAATCCCTGAGCACCAACAAGAGATCTAAGTCCAGCCCACCTTGAATGCCTTCTTAGTTCCTGCTCATTTTCCCCTTGACCGTGAGTAGCTCAGATTCTTGTAGAGAGCTTAAGCTTGCAATACATCTTTATACTGGTTTGAACTGCCTGAATCTTCTGATTTCCCCGGCACTTGACAAGTGTCATCAATTCTGCTTATGAGCAACCCCACTGATCTGAGCCAGAATTTAAAGGAGTGGGGCTGTGTAGTACAATGTGGGAATGAAGACAGGAAAAAGAGCAACAAAGATGATTAGGGGACTGGAAGCTAAAACATATAAGGAACGGCTGCTGGAATTGGGTATGTCTAGTTTAATGAAGAGAAGGACGAGCGGGGACATGATAGCAGTGTTCCAATATCTCAGGGGCTGCCCCAAAGAAGAGGGAGTCAAGCTATTCTCCAAAGCACCTGAAGGCAGGACAAGAAGCAACGGATGGAAACTAATCAAGGAGAGAAGCAATCTAGAACTAAGGAGAAACTTCCTGACAGTTAGAACAATTAACCAGTGGAACAACCTGCCTCCAGAAGCGGTGAATGCTCCAACACTGTAAGTTTTTAAGAAGAGACTGGACAGCCATTTGTCTGAAATGGTAGAGGGTTTCCTGCCTGAGCAGGGGGTTGGACTAGATGACCTCCAAGGTCCCTTCCAACTTTATCATTATTATTAAACTGGACAATGGTCTGATGAACAAAATTTGAGTCCAAAGGAGAAATTGGGGAGGTGGGGGGGTGAAGAAAGTGTCTCAGAAAGGGCCCTCCCAGGTCATTGGGAAAACGAAGAGAGCAGTCTGTCTATGGAGATTCTCAGTCATCCAGGTCATCGTTGCCTCAAGGGTGCTTTAGGCAACTGGACTGTTTTTTCTTTATGTAAGAAGACAACCTTCGGCTTCTCATCCCAAAAGCTTGATCACTTGTGACTCACATCAGCCACAACTGATGACGCTTCTGGGATGAGAAGTCAAATGTGATGATCATCTTCTTCTTCCATAAAGAAGAAACAGCCCAGCTGCCTTTTGAAAAAAAAAAAAAAACCTTTGACAAGAGAGCAGCATTTTCAGATTTGCAAGACTCTGTTAATGCAACCTTACAGTCAAGAGGTACAGGTATAGTATAGGGGGTACCTTGCTCAATAGTAGTACCTGTGAGAGGGATCTCGGAGTCCTAGTGGACAATCATTTAAATATGAGCCAGCCGTGTGCTGCAGCTGCCAAAAAGGCCAACACAGTGCTAGGCTGCATTAACAGAGGAATAGAATCAAGATCACGTGA